CTCTCTCTCTGATATATATATATATATATATATATATATATATACACACACATATACACACACGTATATAAATACACATATATAAAAATATATATACACACAGAGATATATAGACAAACACACACACATATATATACATATGTATAATATATATGTGTACACACACATATACAGAAAGAGATCTATTTATCTGTACATAGACTTGCTCACATATATGGGCAAAGATGCAATTATTTTGGATAAAAAAGATGTTGCCTCTGTTTGGGGTAGATTTAAAAAAATGTTGAAAGCAAACAAAAAACAAAGAGCAAGAACTAATCAAATTATATTTTGTTATGGCATTTTTTTCTCCTAACGTGAATAACCCCAAATTGAACAGAGAAGAAATTCAAAGCAGTCGAAATCTAAACATTGAAACTCAAGGTAGACAAGGAGATAAGTTGCCTATTTTCAAGTTTGAACATTACAGTCCAGGTAATTTATAAGTCAGTGCACTGATAATTTTGCCAGTAATAGAAATGATACCAGAGAATAGGAAATTGACATTTAAAAAAAATATAAATATATACTTTGAAAACTGCAGCTCTGAGAGCTTAATATAGATTTTGAGCAAAATTTTAGAAATTGTAAAAGTGTTTCTTTTTCTTTATTTTTCAAAGTAAAATGGATTTAGATTTCTTAAAAAAGAAATGATCATTAATATTTGCAATGGGAACATTAGGAGCAAATGTTCCAAATTTTTTGTAAGGTTTCTAGAGTAATAGAACGACAGGAATATATCTTGACTTTAGGAAAGGATTTACATAACCCTAGATGACATTCTTTTGGAAAAAAATATAAAAAGTCATCTTGGATGACATTTCCAATAGGTAGTGAAGTTTGTGATTGTTACTGATCAGGATGAACGCCTCTGGCAGTGTTTTCAATGGTCATATTCTTTTATACATATATAACACGGCCAAAAACAAAGGAAACAGATTTCTTGATTAATGGATTTGTTATCTCATTTCCAGCCCTAACAGCTTACAAGGTAAAATTATTCCAGTTTCACAGATGAGGGAACTGAGTTTCAAAGAGGTTAAATAACTTTCCTCATATCTGGAGGCTAGTAATCGTAAAATCGAGTGTCAAACCCAGGTCTGTGTGACCTTCCCACTATATTTCCTATGAAAACAAAAGGCATACGTATTAAACTTGTGGTAACATAAAGCTAGGAAGCAACGTTAAAACACTGAATGACAGAATCAAGAACTGGAAAAGCATGGCACCACGGCTCAGAAGAAACAAGATGAAATTCTCTTGAAATTAATATTGTCTTAAAAGAAACCTTCAAAAAATCAATTGAACATGTACAGAACGGCAAATCATGTTTTATCAGTAGATTGCATAATAAATACAGTTTGAGTGTGAGCTCCCTTAGTCAGTAGTACGGTGATAATAATAATAAATGTAATCTTAGACTGTATTAATGGATATATTGACGAGGCAAAACAAGAGAATTACATTGCTCTCTTCAATCATTAGAGGACATTGAGAGTAGTGTTTTCAATGTTAACCCTGGGTGCAATTTTCTAAAGGACCTGTTGACAAACTGGCAAACATTGAGTGAAGTGTGTCGTATGGACATCTAGAAGAGCAAGTGTTTTCCCTAAAATACCTTATAATTGATAAATGTTTCATTTACACACCAAGATTGTACAGCACAATTTTTCTATGACATTTTTATAAAAATTCCCAAAGAATACCAGCTCAGTAAGAAATGGAATGTTCGTCTCATAAATGTAGCTATACGAGAGAAAAAGTTCTAAGTGACACATTGGTTTCCAAATTATATTTTATACCTGGAAAATATCTACTTTATAAATTGCACAAGGTTATAGTTTTTCAATAACAATGCAAAATTGCTTGCATTAACACTTTTTATGTTTTTTTATATGCACACTTGTTATTGATGCTAAAATGTGTATTTTCCAAAAATGTATATTTTCTAAATTTTTATTATGCTCTTACAAGATGCTTTTTTCTGGATGCCCATGAATGCTAAAAAGGCTCCCTTAAGGAGAATAATTTTAAGTGTAAGTAAGCTTTTTAGTCAGTTTTAAAGTATACAAATCGAGACATTATTTAAGGTACATACCATATTTTGTGCTTGAAACCTGTCAGTATCTTATTTTCATAGCAATTAAATAACTCAATTATTAATGTCCCCTTCCATATTTGTAACAAAGAAAATAATATATTAAAAAAATTTACTGCAAAGAGAGAGGTCATGCAATGCTTAATAACTGAATATAATTAAACCTAATAACTGTCTTTTTGCTCTATGCCTCTTAGACAAGATTAGCAGAGTCTTATTCTGAATTTATTTTTCTTTGGTGAGGAAGATTGGCTGTTCCTCTTTTTGCTTGAGGAAGATTGCTGCTTAGCTAATATCTGTGCCAATCTTCCTCTATTTTGGTATGTGAGATGCCACCACAGCATGGCTTAAAGAGTGGTGTGACGGTCCACGCCCGGGATCTGAACTGGTGAACCCCAGGCCACCGAAGCAGAGCACATGATCTTACACCACTAAGCTGACCCAGAATTTTTAAATATTGGAAATACAACATTGAACTATGTAAATAATGTCTGGTCAGATTTTCTTTTTGAAAGAGAAAGGGGGTCCCCTTGACCCCTAACAGAGAAGCTTTCTTTGTCAAAGTCTTTTCCTTAAGTTGACCCACAGTCAACCTATAAAGAAAACATAAAGACATTTTTAGGTGATTGGCCAGTTTATTCAAGCCTGGTTTCAGTAGTGAAAGGATCAAATTAAAGATGAAATATGACCTTTTTGGATCATATTTTGCATTTATCATTCTCTCGCAAACATGCAATCTCATTGTCACCCTCAGCAATCTTTCTTGAAGTATTTTTCAGAAGGTGATGTCAGTCGCTGCTCTGTGAAATTGCCCCCAGAAGAATATGTAAAATTTTACAAACATTTCGTGGAGTCTGCCCAGGTCTTGATATTATATGTCTTTGTTGTGTACCTTTTACCATTGAAACCACAGGGAAATAATTGTAATTTCTGAGTTATATGTAGAATACTATACAACTAGCTAGTTAATAAAAAGGGTGAGAAAGGCAAGAAAACAGAGTATCTTTGAGTGTCTGGCTAGTAGCCTCCAAATTAAGGTAAAGTTATAAGTTAGTGGCAGTGTTCATCTTTTCTTATCACTTTAAGATTTATAGGTGCCATGACATATTTATATTTATAGGTTCATGTTTTCCCTAACACTATAGCAACTGTGTGCAAAGAAAATACACAGTATCAACAAAAGAAAAATATTTCCCAATTTTTTATCCGAGTTTCTAATTTAATTGATGTGCATAGAGTGAATAAAATACTTCCCAACCTTATTTTGGACTGTAGCGCACCGGTGAGTCCTAAGGATTTTGTTTCAGGATGGAAGGAAGAACAAGAAAAATTCCTCCATCTTTCTCTGTATCACAGGTCTAGTCTTCACACACCCACCCACACATACACACACATATATACACACACACACGAATATTCATCTACATAAACATGTATTTGAGTCTTTCCATAAACACACCTGAAGTACTCTTCACTTCTCTTCATAACAAATCCCTTCGTCTTTACTGTTTGTCAAAAAATAGAAAGGATGAGACAAGCTCAGGACATTCTGAAAAACCAATGTGTTTAGGGTGCACTATGGTGCCCTGAATTGCTTTAACAGATACATAGTGTAGACAAAATTGTCCAGTCCCTTACAGTGATATTTGTCAAGTTTGCTTATCAATTGGATGCATATGCCACAACAGCATCATTTAGGACACTTTAGAATTGTTCCAAAGAATGATAATATGACTTATGGAAGAATTGTATCAGCTGTTTTCAGACAGCGTAACTTGTTATCTGAGACTCAGGTAGCAGGGAACAGAAGGCATAAATTACGTAAGGAGCAATCTCTAGATGAGGGAAAGAGCATTGTCTGGGTATCCGAACATCTGATCTCTCATTCTGGCTTTGCTATGAACTAGCTCTGAGCGTAGAAAAGTCAACCGATTTTTATGCTTCTTACTCCTCTCCTTTATAAGATGTCCATTTAAACTCCAAAAAAGTATATGATAAATCACAATGATTTCAATCACATAAATTTTAATACAAAATGTATAAAACCAATTTCAAAATTTTCTGCATATACTGAAAATGTTTGTAAGAATGAACTAACTATAGGCCTTCTCAAATTTCTTCTATTAAATGCAGGTACCCAATGTAACCTGAAAATATCGAGCATAACTATTCTCATTTGCAAAAGGGAAACTAGAAAAAGACTGCTTCCCACAGAAAATTTATTAACAATAGGTGCTCAATTAAATGTTTTTATACAATGAACAATGTCCCCTTTCATATAAATAATCAAGGGAGAGAGTTTTTGTCTTCTTTGCCTTTCCATCACCCAACCTAAACACAAAATTCTGTTGTAAAGACATCACTTCCATGAGGAAGTATCCATTACAGATGTATAGAAGTCTATGGAAACCTAAGTTTACAAGAGAAAAACAGATTATCATTCTAACCAACTGCATATTCACGCAGATGCTTAATAAAAGCTACCTGATGATATAATGAAATCAATTCTTGAGGAAGTGTATATAGTTGGCAACTATTTTTCAAGACTTACCATCCAACAAACTAAATGTTTTCATTTTCAATCCTTCATCTTACCTTTTTAACATTCAGCAGAAATTTTAAAACTAATATGATAACATTAAAAAGTATAAATGAAAGTAGTATTAACTATGGACTGATACTCAACTTCAGAAGTTAAAATAAATACAAGTGTGTAGTAGAGTAAAATTATATTGACAATGTGTAAATCAAAACTGCCGAGACCATTGACTTTTCTTTTAAAATATCCCATCCATTGCTTTCCCTCCCAAGGACAAAGGCAGCAAAAGAGGAAGGGAGCAAACAAGGAAACAGGAAGACCTGCTTCAGGAATTGGACACATTGGTTTAATCAGCTAAGAAGTCCAAATGCTAATACTCCTAATAATCAGCCATTCCTTTTGTGTTTTGGTAACGTAAATCCTTACGCAGTGTATATCAAATGGAATTTTTTGATTCATATCTGACATTTCAAAGTTTCCATTTTTGAATTCCCCTAGTCTTACATAAGTAACACATTGTCTAATTCTTTTGAAACGTACGACATTTTCCCCAACATCTAGGGCTCCATGATGTAAAATGTCATTTTGCCGATCTTCTGTTCCAGTAGTCACTTTAATTTTTTTAATTACAATTGGATTTTCAAATACAATCACAAAGATGTCTCCTGTTGAAGGTGGTTTCCCCCAAAAGTACTCATCAACACTGCTATACGCCTTGCTTGCTTCATAACTTTCAAAAACATTCATGTTGGTATATAGGCTTGCAGGAGGGTTATCAGGGATGTCAAATGACTCCTCTTCAAAATCATCATCCTTCAGCTTATTCTCAGCCCCTTTATATGATGAATAATAACCCATGTGCTGAAAGAGAGATGGTTTAAAACGGATCACATTTTTCTGAGCCAACAGATCCCGGAAATGAGTCAGCAGCCAATCACAAGGCATTTCTTGATAAAACATTAATAAAAAATGTGCCAAACGTGGGAGGTCATGAGAATGGTAAAGTTTTCCAATGTAGCCAAGCTTAGAGAATTCAAGAGTTACCCAGTAAGTTCCTTCTAGAGATGTAATGACTTTCTTGATGGCAGTTAAGAAGTTTTTTGAACATCGAACATCGTCTTCAAGCATTACATAATAGTCTGAAGTATTGGCACAAAAATTAAGCAGAAACGCATAGTCTACATTTTGCTTGGAACGAAATCTGACTCTATCTTCTGGATCATTGTAATTTCTTTTAAGGCCATCCAGGATTGGGTAATACTCCTCTGGAGCATGTATAACTATTAATCTTCCTGCAATAATATGGTGGGCAAATTTCTGTGTAATATCCTGAACCATGACCTCACGCCAGGATGAATTAAACTCTGCCAGATGAACCACCACTGAAATCTCCTTCAGCTCCTCATAGCTGGATTGCTCAAAAATTGACCTGATTGTCTCAAGTAAATAGTTTCCTTTTTTTCGTTTTACTGACGAAAGTCCAATTGTAAGAAACCCTGAGCAAAAGAATTCAGAAGAAAGACAAGTTAAATGTGAGATAGGTTTTGAATAACGTAGAAAAAGGAAAAAAAAAAAAAAAGATATTTTCCCCTTAGGCCTGCTACTAAATGAAGTAAACCTAGTGAGGATTATGTATAGAACATTTTGTGATTAAAGTGTTATGCTAAATATATAAAGGCTGTACTACTTTATATATAATTGACATTTTCTATGAAAAAAATTGCATTTTAAGCACAATGATATATGAACTCTATTACAGTAAACATTTGCTTATGAAATTAAAAATATAGTTTAAAGCGTTCTGCAGCTTAATGTTCTCATATATGCCCATTATAGAAAATAGAGAGATATTTAGAGAACATCCATGCTATTTTTTTAAAAACCTGCAAAAGGAGAAGGGAATTCGCAGTTAAAGATGACAAATTCTTTTCAGATGATGAAAAAGAAAATTAAGGGTAACATTCTTTTAATCATCTTTAAATTTTTCTTAGAAAACATGTCATATATTTTCATTTTTCTTTGATCACTGTCATCTTGTACCAGAAGAATTCATAGCTGGACTTCACAGTTTTATTTTGAAATTCATCTAAATGTTAATTAGAATGCAAACGGCATCATAAGCTATTTTTGAAAAACTGCATTATTTTTCAAGTATATGGTACACTGTTCCAAGACATAAATATTACTGTTTTATTTATTTTGAAACACATTTTATAGCAATTTTGTCTGGACAAATTTTTATTCAGATACTTAAAATCTAAAATTAGAATTGGATATTTTTAGGGAATAAAATAAAACCCTGTGAAATGGCAGTTTGCTTCTGAGAAGTGTTAGATGTCATTCTATTGAAATGTTTCCACTTTTTAAGGCTCTTATTCGCACTATGACTCACCGTTGAATAAAATCTCAGAACCACCATTTGGAAAATAGGGAAATGTTCGTATCCCCCAAGATTACTGTTTTAATACAGACACCTACATGATATGATTTGTGTGGTACTGAATAAGCCCCTTCCAAGAAAAATCTTTTTTACTAGTATGTCAGAGAGGTAGAGATTTACACATTTTGTTTAAATGCTTGGGCTTACAATGTTGACTTCTACTCAAAAACTAATACGTTACCTGGTACCATTAAACTCCAGCCACCAGCCTTCATTAATGCTCAATAATGGCCAACACTTCCAGACTACTTTATACACAAAAGGCAGGAGTCTATGCACTTTACCTGTAATATGCATCTTGAACATTCATAATAGTCTTTGGCATAGCTTTGTGCTTGTCATCATCCCTGCTTTATAGACGAGGAAAGTAAGTCACAGTGAGATCATGAGGTAATTTGTGCAAAGTGTGACACTTCATAACTGGTGGAGTGCCAAAATGGAAGCTGCCCTGCTCTCACCCTGTTTTATATTGTTTGCATTGTTTTATATTGCCTCTTCAGGGTAAAGCAATTGGCATTTGTGCAAATATGCATTAGTAAACTTAGCATGGAAAGGGGGCATTAGTAATGTTTGAATAAAGGCAGTGTAACAGATGGAGATTAAAAAATAGTGGCAGTTTTATGCAATTAGAAGGAAGTTTAAGAACATAGACATTTGAAATGGTAGAATGAAAGAAAAAAAAAGATTTAATGAAAGCTGAATTAACTAAGTTAAAATTTCCTCAACCTAGTGATCACAAACTCACTTGCATAAACACTCCCAGCAGGGAACTCAATTTTGTGGTGTCCACACAATTTATTAAGAAATTCGTGGAGTTGTTTGGAGGGTGAAAGGGGTAAAGGGGCACATATGTATGGTGATGGGTTAAAACTGGACTATTGCTGGTGAACATGATGCATTCTACACAGAAATTGAAATATAATAATATATATCTGAAATTTATACGTTAATCAATATGATCCCAGCAAAATAAAAAAAAAAGGGAAAAAAATATAATGTTGAAGAAAAAGAGGAAAAAGGAAATTCATGATATCACTGCACTTGGTTGATTTTAAAATTCATATATTTCACATAAAAATACTTTAAAATCAGGTTGCATATTACAATTGATGGCATCTTACAATTAAAACTGATAATGCTTATACTTTCTTAGTGCTACATTAATTCGATCGTGACACTTTCTATACTCCATGGCGTCTTGAAATCCGTGAAATGTAGTATGCTACTTCTTGGATCTAAACCGCCAGTGATGGGTTGAATAGTTTCCTCCAAAAAGTCATGTCTATCTGGAACCTCAGAATGGGATCTTATTTGGAAATAGAATATTTCCAGATGTAATTAGTTAAGAATCTTGAGATTAAATCCTATTGGATTTAGAGAGGATCCTAAATTCAATAACTGGAGTCCTTGTAAAGAAGAGGAGAGGACACAGGGAGACATGGGGAAGAAGGACACATCAAGATGGAGGAAGAGACTGGAGTTATGATGCCACCAACCAAGGAATGCTAAGAGCTACCAGAAGCTGGAAGAGGCAGGGAAGAATTCTCCTCTAGAACTTTTGGAGGGAGTGTGGGGCTACCCAGCACCTTGATTTCGGACTTCTGGCTCCAGAAATGTGAGAGAATAAATTTCTGCTGTTTCAAACCAGATAGTTTGTTATAGCACCTTAAGGAACTAACACAATGACTTTCACTATTTCAAAACTGGTGGCAAGTCATAAAAACCAAATTATTAGAGTTAGAAAATGTATCAAGATGGGACTAGTTATTTTTAAAAGCTAACTTTTAAAATTTAAAACAAATTGATTTTTCTTTGTCTCTCTACACAGTTCTACAGAAAACTGTTAAAAAGATCATACTACAAATAGGCATTTTAATTTTTTTTATTAATGGAATTGGATCAATGAGTAACTGCAATTTACGAAGAGACATTGAAATATTTCCCAAAGAATATATTACACTGGTAAAGCCTAGAAACTTTTATTGCTATATAAATGAAGCAAATTATCATTATTTTAAAACAATATATTTTACACATTCTTGATTTACAAGTGTAAAGATACTTACGTTTTCTTTGTAAAGGTGTGGCAGCTAAGTAGCGATAGGTGACATTGATGGCTCCTGAGAAATTTGATAAATCTTTGAAAGTATGCACATAGCGTTCTGAGTTCAGTTGATGGGTGGATGTTTCCCTTCCAAATTGTTTGTCTCCTTCCTGAATGCCAAGGAGGAGGCAGAGAAAATAAATAAATAACAGCTGGTCACAGCTTAAATAAAGTTTCTCCTTATGCAGTAAATATATGGGGCTGATATGTAATATGGGTGTTATATAAATCTCAGTCACTGGGACCACATGCTGTCAATCATTATCTCTCCCCTGAATGCCTACCTGGAGTCTCTACCCTCTTCCACTCTATAGTAGACTTACATTTGCTTTTCTATCGCATACGTTAGTAATGGCATCCTCTGGATAAAAAATCTCTACATGAAGACTCCCACTGCCTTCATGTTAAAATTCAAATGCTTTACAATAATTCAAGGATCTTAAAATTTGACACTAATCTGTTTTAAAGTTCCATGTAAAGCTAATTGTCACTAAATTCCCCATTTTTGAGTCATATTAAGTATTTACTCTTCTTCCAGCACTGTCAAATAAAAGACCACACGTTATTTCCATGAGTGGGAAACTTTAGGAATGATTAGAAAGTATGCAGCAGTGGACATAAGAGTTGTATTTTGGATAATTCATTAATCAAGATGCTTTATTCAGTCTCTTACATGACCGCTAGAATCGAAGGCTGTTGGGAATGGACAGCCATGGTCCTTGTGACGTGGCAGTTTTTTCCAAGGTCTTTGAGGTAGCTCCATTAAGATACATTTGTACCAAGTAAAGGAAATGTCTTCAGACCTTGCACAAGTCTTTCCCTTGAGACGTGTGCTTGTGTGTATGTGTGTGTGGTATTCTGTTGGAAATGAAGTCTGGTCCTTTTTATATTTAGGATCCTTTAAACTATTTGGTAACAGACTTACATCATTCAATCTTCAGGTAGGTTTATATCCAAGAAAACATATTCATATTCAGCTTAAAATATATTCTATTAACCATTAGTTGCTTCCTTTTTTCTCCCATCTCTGATATAAGTCCAATTGTAGATTTTGATTATTTAATCACCATTTGATGAAGTTCTATTGGCTATACATTATCAGCAAAATGATGACTTACTTGGCTTTTGTATATGGTTTACTACCATTAGTAGGATATGTTTGGGGAAATGTAATTAAAAAGAAATGTTTCTTTTTTGGCAAAGTGTCTACTGTACTCTGTGGTGTTACATGGGTCTATTTCTGCTATTCAGCATAGAATGGCAGGTCAGGCATGTGCAAGCCATTAAGACTATAGAGAAAGTGAAGATATTAAATAAGTTTGGTCATCATATTATTCGGCTGTGGTCAGTAAAACTTTAATTAAACTCCTGCTCTAAAAAATTAGAATTCAAATACAAGTTTTACCTCAATTGAAACAGTCACTACTTCACCTCAAATTCATATGTCAACGGAAGGGGTGACTAACTCAAACTTTTAAATCTATGGCCAAACTGGAATTGTCTTAGAATAAAAACTGAGAATAGTGGCTATGACCGGGAAGAACTTTCAATCTTGTCCTTGCTAAATCAAGATTCATTCTGAATATCTTTTCTGTGTGTTCAATTATGTTTATGTTATATTTGGCCTTTAACACTGTATTTCTATATTTTATACTGCCTTGATAATTTGGACAAAGAAAATACACTTTAGTCTTTTATAAGATTTATAATGGATTGGCCATCTGTAAGTTATAGACTTTCAAAATATATGAAATTAAATCTTGGGTGCTAGATTTCTTATAAATATGCGAATTGAATATCCATTGAATTTTGATTATTTAAAATTTTTCACACAGAAATATTTTCATCTTTGTCTTTCTGAAAACTTATAAAACATCATTAAAGTTTTAAAATAAACAAATTTAGGATTACCAAAAGTAACCAGGGATTCAGTTTAGCCTCAACTATTTTAATAGGAATATAACAGTGTCCATAATCAATAGCGTCTAAAAGAAATACCCATAAAAATCACAGTAGTCACAACTCTGAATTCATTTTACCATTCTGTTCTTATGTGATGTCACAATCTAACAGAAGTGAAGGATATTGAATATTTCTTTAAGAATTCTTTCTTGAACATGTAAAAATCCAGACCTTTTCTGTGATAAGATAGTGTACATTCATCCTGATTGAAGGATATAATAGAATATAAAATGAAACGTAACTTATATGAAAGCACTTTATTAAATTCTCAAGAACAAGTTTCTTTACACATTTCAGCATAAATAAATAATGTGGCTTTCACCTGACTCAGCCTTGTTGGCTGCTTTCCAGAGGCATCTACCTGAACAGCCAGGCTCTCCCTGGATACCTTCTTTCTGTAGCTACTATGCTGTAGTGTATTTCTCAGTAACAAGACAAAGCTTTATGACAATCATTTTCTGGATGGGAATGCAATTCAACAGACTAGCTACAGACTAAATATATACTCTAGTGGCTACTTTGAAGATGCTCACAGCTGAGAGGCTAAGTTGATTGGGCATGCAGCGTCTCTTCTACTTAGCTTTCCTTGTAACACTATTTGTCTCTTACACTGAGCTCAGCTTCCTTTCTCACTGAAAGGCACATATGCCCCTAACATGTAAGCAACAGACTGAACTGTTACATGCGCAGGATTTCAGGCCACCAGTGGATTTTCTTGCAAAAAGGAGCAGAATAGAATGTGCTAAGTAATTCCAGAGACCTTACAACTTCTAATTGTTTACCTGATTTCTCTGAATTATGACTACTACTTCCCCCTGAAATAAGCAAGACAGAAAAAGAAAGACGCACTAATGTGCATGCTTAGAAAATTTCAGGCAGTGTGGCATTCTGGAGTCCCAAAAGAAAATCAAGTCAGATAACTTTATGAAAAATGAAATAAACACAGATAAAAGGGTCAAAAAGTGGGAAGTACTTAAAAGAAATTGCATTATATCCTAGTAGGGGGCCAGTTTTCCATAGATATGAAACATTTTTAGAACAACAAGCTTAATGTAATTTTACATTAACGATCTGAAGAAAGTTTCAAATCTTTATACGTATTAAGCTTTGGGATAAAATTTAGCTCAATACGCAATTTAGGTAGAAAACATCATTTAGTATATAGTGAAAAATTAAGCTGGTAAAAATACTGTCATTGAATTTTCAATAAGTGAGGGTGCTTGTATTTAACAATCATTTTAACCCACTTTTTCCGACTTAATAAAATTATTTAAAAATAATTTCAATTTTTAAAGCTAAGATGCAACCTCTTCTCCGCACCTAGGCTAACTTGCAAATTTGAGTAGTTATATGGCTAATGTAGCCAGAAAAAATTTCACTGAGAAAGTACTCTTTAGTTAGAGCTACTTCATTAAATCATAACTTCTATTAGGTGGCTAGGATCAATGTTTAGATAGGAACGTGTAAAAATTTACAAAACAAAGCAATAGCATTTCAGCTTCTTATGGATATATACTCTACTACTCCTTACACTTTTTATAGTGAATTTGGAGAGGTTCTATTCCAAAAAAATATAAGGAGGTTTGTTGCGTACAATGATCTTTTGTCCGTTTAAAGTGAAACATTGAAACTGCACTTAAAAATGCAGCAAGTCATTGAATTCACAAGCATCCTGCCAATAACATGTTTTTGATTTACAAGCTTTGATTTACTTCTACCAGTAGACACAGATGTAAGAAATAAATTTTTATTACAAAATTAAATCATTACTCAAGAGCTTCTCTAGTGAATTTATGATCTTTAATTCTATCAAGAAAAAGATAGCTGGATCACATGGGCCTTGCTCTATCATCCTTAAATCCAATAAACCTAATAATCAGGTTAAAAAAAATCCAAAGTGCATATCACTAGTAAGCTTCTCCAGTTTGCGACTAAATCCAGTTTACCTAAATCATGCCTAGTCAAATTTCATTAGTTTGTTGTAATTTCAACCATTGTGAATTGACTATGGATAGGAGAATGAAGTGTCCACCATATTAAGACCTATACTTGAAGGTAAATGGCCCAGGTAGAGTCAAGATCTAGGAATCTGGCAGGATTCCACCATCAAAAAACAACGCTAAAGGAAGCAAGATGCTTTACAGAAGACCTCCTACAAGGATCTGTACCAACTAAGATGATATGGTAGGTTCATAGGCTACAGAATAGAATCTGACAAATAGTAGATAGTTAACAAACCATGGGAAATGCTCTCTGTGGTTATTGTCAGATTCTTTCTTGCTAAGACATTAATTGAAACTTTCAGCATGCTTGCCTGATGGAAAGTATTCAGTCCTCTTTGTAACCAAAGGTTTTGATTTTCTGAAATATGTGAACAGGAGTAATACAAAGATTAGGATTTTTCCGGATATCTTAAGCTCAATTCAGATAGAAAAAGTGAATAAGCAATAATGTCCATATTATTCCCATCCGACATAAAATGATGTGATAATTATAACAACAACAATAAATAATAGAAACAAATTGAGTTCTCAGAATTAGCCAGAATATGCCATTTTATTTATTTCCACAATTCACTTAAAAATTCATTTGTATATTGTCTACTAATTTTATCTTTTTTAAACTACTGGTTTTCACATTAATATCTTTAGTTCTTGAGGTTCTATATTACTTTTCAGTGAATATAGATATATAACATGGTGGCCATTTAGGACAATAAAAATCGAAACAAGATGTCACACTTTGCAATAAAATATTCCTTCTTAATAAAATAAATAGCACAATTAGGATAACTAATTAGACAATGGGATTTTAAAAATTTTGATGATAATACAGGAAAGTAGAGAAAGTAAGGAGTAATATGTTAAGCATAGTTTGTTTATTCTATATATTTCAAATTCAGGCTCAAAAATTGTAATGGTTCTATATAATATTAATTGGGCATAATGATGATAGCTAACTTATTTGTAATTAAATGTATTAAGTATTAAAGAGAATATTGCAAAATAAATCAAAACAATTGTAATGTTAGTAAGATGTAATTAACACAAAAGGTAGCTAGATAGAAAATCAACGTTAGAATTTTGCTCAAGCTAAGGCTATCGCAACAGCCTGGGATTGAAGTGAGGTTACAAGTGGACTAAGTCTAGTTTGACTTAGGTCTTATCTGAACAAAAAATAATCATTCTCCCAAACTCACCAGCACGTAGCTATCTTCAATGTACAAGTTCATAAATAGAAGGAAAATGACAAGAACTCCCAAGAAAGACACTGTAGAACGTTTTCGCAGGCATCTCATTTTATCCAGTGTCTCAAAAATATATTTCATTTGATGAAATTTAAACATTCTTTCCTGTGGAAAAGAGGCACAGAATTACTAACAATTAATTTTGGATGCAAATATTTCCTCATCATATATATCAAAAGCTTCACCCTTCGAATGTTTTAACGAAAATTGTTTCCAACTTCATACATAAGGTTGGCACAGATTATTAATAGATTAACAACAGGTCAGTGCAGTGATTTGTATTGATGTGCAGTAAATCAAAATGAAAAGCAAGTCTCAAGGTTATTTCCGAACAAATACACATCAGTAACAATAACATAATAAAAAATAATCCTTTGATGAGAAACATAATAAAAATAAAAGAGAAAAACAAACATTGAGATAACATCTACCTACCCATATTATAATGTAACAAAAATGAGAGAAACTGAAAGTATGGGTCTAATACTGATCCCACACTAGGTGCTTTGAAAAGAGCTCCAGGGAGGGAATTTGGGTGAAAGAAAGAGAAGTCACATAGGAAGTCAAAGTTTTGGAGATAAGTCCAGACATATTCAAGAATTTCTGAGTTATAATTGCTTTGCTTATTTTTCTAATTATTCTTGTTAATCAGAGTAAATCCTGGAGTAGCATATTCACATTGCCTTATTTGATCTACTGACTGTAAGTGTGGCTGTTTATAATAACTCACGGACAGCAAAAAGGCAAGATTAGTGAAGAACTACTTTTTTCCCATTTCATTCTTCTATATTTGTGATATCCTCCAGGCACAGATTCATTTAGATTACTGATTGTTCCTTAAAAAAATAAAAACATAGCTGAAATGACCAAAAGACTAGTTAAATCATATTTGTCTAAAATCAAGTATAGTCTGGAAATTGTGCCACCTTGAGTTCTGTACTGGGTCTCTCCAGATTCAGCTTTAGAATATGTATTTTTGTGCTTAAATTGCTTCAGGAAGTGAAAAAGTCTTGGACCCCAAAGTCTTAGAACAATGTCTAGGACATGGCTGGCAAAAAATGTCTCTTCAATGAATTAATGCAATAAAGAATTTATGAATCCTTATAAATTATAGGAAAGAATATTAGGAACAGGGAGAAAGTCTTAACAAAGGCAGAGAATGGAAGAATTCTTAAAAGATATATTCTAAGAATTATTGTCTACTGGCATAAAAACAAACACGTAGATCAATGAAATAGAATAGAGAGCCCAGAAATAAATTCATGCATATATGGTTGATTAATCTATGACAAGGGAAGCAGCAATATATAACGGGGAAAAGACGGTCTCTTCAAAAAATGGTGTTGGGATAACTGGACAACTACACGCAAAAGAATGAACATGGACCACTATCTTACATCATACACAAAAATAAATTCAAAATGGATTAAAGACTTAAATGTAAGACCTGAAACCATAAAACTTCTGGAAGAAAACATAGGCAGTCAGTTCTTTGACATCGATCTCAGCAATATTGTTTTGGACTAGTCTCCTCAGACAAGGGCAACAAAAGCAAAAACAGACAAATGGAATTACATCAAACTGAAGAGCTTTTCAAAGCAAAGAAAACCATCAACAAAACAAAAACGCAACTGGGGCTGGCCTGGTGGCACAGCAGTTAAGTTCATGTGCTCTGCTTTGGCAGCCTGGGCTTCACTGGTTCAGATCCCAGGCACAGACCTATGCACTGCTTATTAAGCCATGCTGTGGCAGGCGTCCCACATATAAAGCAGAGGAAGATGGGCACAGATCTTAGTTCAGGGCCAATCTTCCTCAGCTAAAAGAGGAAGATTGGTGGCAGATGTTAGCTGAGGACTAATCTTCCTCAAAATAAAATAAAAGAAAAAAAAAGGTAACCTACTGAATGGGAGAAGATATTTGAAAATCATACATCTGATAAGGGGGTTGATAACCAAAATACATAAAGAACTTATACAAGTTAATACAAAAACAAAAACCTGAGTAAAAAATGGACAGAGGACTTGAATAGATGTTTTTCCAAGGAAGACATACCGTCAGCCAAGATGCACATGAAAAGATGCTTAATATCACTAATCATCAGGGAAACGTAAATCAAAACCATAATGAGATACCACTTCACAGCTGTTATAATGGCTATTACCAAAAAGACAGAAAATAACAAGAGTTAGAGAGGATGTGGAGAAAAGGAAACCCTCGTACACTGTTGGGGATATAAATTGATGCAGCCACTTTGGAAAACAGTATGGAAAATCCTCAAAAATTAAAAATAGAACTACCATGCAACCCAGCAATCCCACCTATGGATATTTATCTGAAGAAAATGAAAACACTAATTCAAAGAGGCATATACACTCTTATGTTCATTGTAGCATTATATATGAAAGCCAAGATATGGAAGCAAACTAAATGTCCATCATTAGATGAATGGATAAAGAAGTAAGATATATATATCTCACATCATATTTATATATATATGTGTGCGTGTGTGTGTATATATATATATATAAAACATATACAATGGAATATTACTCAGCCATAAAAAAGAATGAAATCTTGTCATTTGCAACAACATGGAGGGACTTAGAGAGTATTATGGTAAGTGAAATAAGTCAGCCAGAGAAAGACAAATACTGCATAGTTTAACTTATATGTGGAATCTAAAAACCAAAACAAACAAACAAAACAAAAACAGACTCATAAACACAGAGAACAGGCAGAAGGGAGAGCGTTGGGGGAGTGTGCCAAACAGGTGAAAGGGATTAAGAGGTACAAACACCCAGTTATAAAAGTAATAAACCATAGCAATGTAATGTACACATAGGGAATATGGTCAATGATATTTTAATAATTTTGTATGGTAACAGATAACTAGACTTGTGGTGATGATTTTATAATATAGTTAAACATTAAATCACTATGATGTATACTTCAAGCTAATAGGACATTGTATGTCAATTATACTTCAATAAAAATGTTTAAAAATAAAGTTTATGTGAGTTCCCTTAAAAAAAAAGAATTGTTCTTCATTTCCTTTGGCCATATCTTTCTCTAGTGATTCTTATTTTCCTTGTTGATTTGTAGGAGTTTTAAATATATGTGCAGAAATGCACAGATAAACACTAATCTTTGCTTATGTTGAAATTATCTAAATATCTTCTTCAAGTATTTCTTGTATTTTCTTTTTGGTAAGACTTTCGCAGTATAGAGTTTTTGATGTCAAATTTGTTTCATGGTTGTTGGGTTTTTTGTACTATATTTAAAAAATCCTTTCCTATCTTGATGCTAAATGGAGAATTTCCTTTATTCTCTTCTAGCTTAAAGAGGCTTCCATTGAAGAAATTTGGGAAAAACAATACTTTAAAAAAGACTATGATTGATAGTAAAATACTGACAATATAAATTCATGATAATATGGTGATAATAAAAAGAAGAGGGGAAAAGAGGTAAGAAAGCTACCTGCCACAGTTGGAGGTGATCACTGCACTATCTTCTAACTCTAGAAACTCGGAATTGAAAAGGAAGTACTAAAATTTCCCTCTGAATTTCCAGGAGGAGCTGTATTTCACCCACAGTTGATTATGGATATTTTCAGATACAAGACATCAGGCAGCATTGGGCGATGAACCCTGAGAGAAAGGAAATGAAAGAAGTAAGCCCTATCATTTCTCCAGTTTGGGGCTGGGGGCCATTTTCAAAAGGCAGCACAGGACATTGATGGAAGAAACTGAGGAAGATACAAACAAATAGAAAGATATCCTGTGTTCATGGATCAGAGGGATTAACATTGTTAAAATGTCCATCTATAGATTGAATGCAATCCCTATCAAAATTCAAAAGGCATTTTTCATAGAAATAGAAAAAACATTCTAAAATTTGTGTGGAACCACAACACATCCCCTATACCCAAAGCAATCCTAAGAAAGAAAAACAAAGCTACAGCCATCATGCTTCCTAATTTCAAAGTATATTACAAAGCCATAGTAATCAAAACAGTACGGTACTATCATAAATACAGACACATAGAACAACAGAACAGAATCAAGAGGACACAAACAAACCCATGCACGTACAATCAACTAACATTTGACAGGAGAGCCATGAATACTCGATGCAGAAAGGACAGTCTCTTCAATAAGTGATTCTGTGAAAACTGGATATTTGGAGGCAAAAGAACGAAATTGGACCCCTATCATTTTGATGTAACACCATACCAAACAACTCATTTTTAAAATGAGAAGACATAATTTTCTCTCTATAATTCCTTTTTGCCCCAAATGTACGCAAAATTGGCACATCTGGTTCAACAAGACTTCATCAGTTTTTAAAGGCAGAATCGCATTCTTTTTTGGAAGAGCCAGGTGTTGAATGGTCACATATATGAGACTACTATAACCAAACTTCAAAGACATAGCTATTTAAAATCATTTTGATGTAACACCATACCAAACAACTCATGTTTAAAACGAAGAGACATAATTTTCGCTCTATAATTCCTTTTGTAAAGATTATTATATATGAATATATGGATAAATATACTCACATACAAAATGTGTATTACATATTCACATATTTACATGCAATTTTGAAATTATAAATAGTGTAGCATGTATTCCTATACATTTATACACATGTAATTATACATCTATAAACAGAGCTGTATTCACTGGCAATGAAACAGGTAAGTTGGTGACAAAGTAGTATTCTTTCTCAATATTTAATACTGATCCTACCTGAAGTTTTTCTCACGTTTACACGTTTACAAACCATCACTAAAGAGGATACAGACCTTAGTAATCTCCTTTCCCTCCTGTAATATTGTTCTTTCCACTGCTCTATCCAACCTTCTCTTTTCTTCCTTCTTTACAACCTTTTGGTACTAAGGTGACCTCTCCTACAACCACTTTTTGAGCAAAATTCAAAACTTAGATTTCTAGCCAGGACTTCTTCCTGAGCATAGTTCCAACTGTTGAATAATAACTTTTATCTCTAGTAGATTTCCTGCTGACCACTCAAACACAAGGAGTTCAAAACCATAGGATGATTTCCCCTTCCAGCCTGCTCCTCCTTCCAGAGTCTCATTTTTGGTAGGCCTAGCTGTCTTATCACCAAGTCAAATCATCTGAAAAAATATTTTCCTCCTCCTCTCCCACAGTCAGAAACATGCCAAGCCGTCTCCAGTCCTCAGCCTCTCACTTGCTACAATTTCTCCCGTCTGCTTCTCACTGTTGTTATCAGAGTTCAGGTTAATACTTCCTTTAACTTTGGCAACAGCAAGAAATTTCTGATGGCTTTTCCAAACTGTTCGCTCTTTACCATTTGTTTCTAAAGGATCAGCCCCTAAACGGGAAGCAAGAAGCTAGTTTTGCAAGTCCCGTTCTTAAACCGGAAGTGGGAGGATCCACACTAGGGGAGAGGTCAGGATTCCTTACCAGCCCAGGGGCTTTCCGAAGATGTTTGCTTAGGCAGACAGTAGGGAAGACATAACAGGGCGCTGTGGTGCCAAAGGGCAGAAATCAAGACAGCTGTTTGCAAACGATCTGTCATCACAAATGATGAAACAATGCCCTAGGGTAGACCAGGTGTTAGCGAGGAAATGCAGCCAGCCCTGCGCAGAGCTCAATGACTAGGTCCATTCAGACCCGGACTTCCCCTGCCGCCCTGAACTAGAAAACTGTATCAACCCAAATCCAGTTGGTCTGTTGCAGTCCTGCTGTTTTCGAAAATCGGGGAAGGGGAACCCAATGCCTCTTCAAAAGTATTTTATTTATTTATTTCTCAAGTTCTGAAATTAGCTGCACTTTTGATTGTACTCTGCATTTCATGAGAAAGTGACACTTGGCAGAGAGCTGAGGAGCCCTTCGTCAGGGAGAGGAGGCACAGGCCCTGAACAATGCTTTTGAATCAAAACTGCAGTTTCTTCATCCAGTGTCTTACTTCTACTCCCACTCCTGAGGTAAAGTAACCAAAGATTGTTCTGTTTGGTGATAATGAATCGTGGTAATGTTAAAAAAAATTTCCCGTAGGAAATAAAAAGAACTAGGCCCACTGTGGTGGGAGCCCCATTGCTTCAGGCAGTCTCTCCCTTTGCTGCCTCCCTCCAAGCTATGTGTGGGGGAGCCATGCCAATCAGCTGGACTGCTAAGAGGAGCCAAAGGACCAGTGCAGGATACATTGCAGGCCAGCATCGCCCTTCTTGACCATATAGAAGGCAGAGGCTTGGCATCTTCTGTTTGAGGACACTGAAGTTTATACAGATTGTCATTTTGCCCAAAGTCACCTAACTAGAAGCAGCACATTGCAAAGTTGCCACCCAAATGAAGCTTGGATTGTTTGAGACAGGAGCTTTAGCAATTGCTGCAATAACTGGAGGAAGAAATGTGAAACCTTCGCAGCTTCATCTGGAGAGTGTCAAGATGGCGGCTCAGCGGATCTGAGCTGCCAACTCCAAAGGCCTCTCTCTGACCTTTAATGATGTAAAAGTGCTTTCTTCTAATGTTTTGCTTGTGTGCAATTCCACATCTTTTAAAATGCAAAGCAAGTGATCACAATCAAAGACTGTTACTCCACTAGCTTTATTACTTTGAAGTTCTACAAGGTTGACTATCTCTGTGTTTTGGATACATTAGAGTATGAGTGGTGGAAGAGGCACAACTCCACAGAAATGGGCTACATCCCTTCCACATACATGCAGCCCTTAAACTACTGTAAGTCTACACTGTGTGCCAGCAGAATGAATGGCAGTATTCCAGACAGTCAAGAAAAAGTAGCTAAGGAATTCAGTTTGCTTGGAGGGTAGACAGGTGAAAAGAAAGGGTCATACAAAATCCAAGAATAATAACCATTTCTGAAATGAGGTCCAAAATCTTTGATGGGCTGCCATCTACAAATCAACTAAATGCAGAACAGCCAGTCAAGTAGGACAACACTATTTTTAGAAACAAATGTTCATACAGTTTATTCTAACTCTCTATCCTCCAAGTCAAGTCTGATGCTCCTCCATCAAGTTTTGTCGCAGGATTGAAATCACCTATCTCTGAACAATTTCAGAACAAGGAGGATTTTTAAATATCCTGGTTCAACCGCGAGAAGAGGGCCTGGTATCGCCTGGACTTGGACTTGCTTGGCAAATCCTCTGGTTGAGGCCAGACCCAAGGTATAGAAACTCACATTGTTAGCAAAGAGGATAGTTCCAGGAGAACTATGCAATTTTCCAACACCAACACCAGCGTCAGCATCCCTGTGCCTGAAGATAGCTCCTGGGGAAGTGCAGCAGATCTCCACGGAAGCTCTGCTGGACTCTCCCTCGGAACTCAACATTGAGTGGCATCAACCATGTCTTATGGGTAAAACTGAGTACTAAGGAAGTAAAAACCAGTCTGCTTGTCAGTTCTAGAATCCCTACCCCTGGTTAGAGAATTTAGGGATTGAACTATTTAGAAATACATAAGGCCAAGAAGGATGTTATTTGGTGCAAGACTGTTTATTTTATTTCTCAAAGGCCTAATTATAAATTGCTTTGTATGTGGACCTGCTTTCTTACATATTTCCTTTCCTGATCAGGCTTGGGATATTCTGTGCATCAGTTTAAGAAAAGTACTCTTCCCCACCTTTGCCTCACATTTTAATCTGCATGGATTTGCTATCTTCTCTTATCCATTCCCACATTTTAAAATTTAATTTTTAGGTCACCAATTGTTGCCTTCTTGCTGAAGATTTCTCTGAACCCCATTTTCAGTCAAAAATTCTTCTTCACTTTTTTGAACTCTTACCATTTTATCTATACTTCTCTTAATTTACTTAATACTTCCTACTTCTTGATATTGTATCCATATTTCTTTTTTCCCTTTGGATTCTGAGCTTCTTATATGTAGAGTATTTCTTGAAAACTTCATATTATATCACTTGAGTATTTAGTGAGATGTTTTTAGAAAGAGGGCAAGCAACCACTACGCTGTCTTTTTTTGTATGTGTGCATTTTTGCATTGCAGAAATCTTGAACTTGATGCCACAGGGAAACTATCAGCCCATGAATATTTGTATTTCTTTCCCACAGCATTCTGAAATCTTGCCCAAGAACTTTCCTGCCATTATCCAGACCCACAATGTAATCTGTGGGCTCTTTGGTTGCAAAAATGCAAATGAGCACATCAAACTTTACTTTGTCCTTTATCAAAGCACTATAGACTCTTTTTGTTTGTCTTATCATTTAAGTGAGAAGTGAGGATAATGCCACTTGTTAGTTTTGTTATTTAATGGATTGAAATATTTTATAACTGAGCTAAATCAAAATTTTTTAGGGTATTTAAGAAACACAGCAGAAAAAAATAAATGTTGACATTGTGAAGACCAGTTGCAAAATAGAGAATTAGTTTGTGCCAGAGACGCCTCAGACAGATGTAATCTGATCTAATATCAGAATTTAAATATAGTGCAAAGTTTAGAAGACATATAATTTGGGGACAAATATTCTTTGGATCTAATGGACTATCTACTTCTCTTTACTACCTCATGCATATGCATGTATACATGGAAATAAAGATTCTGCCATTGTAACACTATGCATATCTATTATTTATCTCAAATCATTGCTCATGGAAACAGAGTATTAGTTGTACAAACCCTTCATTACATTTCTTCTTGGGAAGACACTGTGTGGGAATTTGTATGCTAGTTTTTCATCAACTCAAGAAAAATGCTAATTTATTAAAGAATTGATGTTGATATGAAGTGACAAGTGAATTATTACACCATAGAGCTGTTTGCATAGAGTGCATATGCTTGTGCGTGTTATCACAAATTCTTCATGTTTCTGGAAGGTTACTTGGACTGTAGGCAACAAACTACAAAATGTTAATGAGCTCAGTTCTCTCCCTCCAGCTCCTCAGGGTAAAATCACACTTCCCCAAAGCAAACTATTCTCTGGTCATATAAGGGAATGGTGAAAAGGAAAACCATACCCCTACCTATGAATGTGCCCACATTATTCTCTGCCAGGCACTAAGCTTAACTTCTACGTTATTTAATAGTCCATTTTTAAATCAACAGTTAGAATGCAACAGTAAATTACATTCTCCAACTCACATGGGTTTGCATCCAACACTCAACCTCACTTTAGGGAAAACATGAAGGAAGTCTTGGAGTGCACTGTTCATCTGTCTGACATGTGCCACTATGTGTCTCTGACTTGCTTGGCTTGCCTTTTTTAATGCTTCCTCAATTTGTTTTTCTACTTTGCTTTTTAGAAGGCTGCACAGGCCCTCAGGGCAGCATTCAGTATTTTCTGATGAGCAGCAAGAATGTTGCTGACATAGCAAAAGCTTCAGGATGCCACAAAAATGAAAAGGGTTTTACAAAATATGATTATTGTTGCATTTTGTACAAAAGGCTCAGATATTGATAGGAACAAATGTAATTGTTTTCCATTTAAGCTTTTTTTTTTTTTATGATGCCAAGTTGTACTGTCCATTTGTAGCTATAGGTGGTAGTGAAGTGGAAAATTATAGAGGCTAGGCTAGTCCATAGGGTTCACAATGAGGACCAGCAAGATTTATTTTTCTGGTTCACTTTAAGCTTCAATGCGGATAGAAAATGTGTAGCACTGACAGACTGGAGGTTTCCTGCCACTGACTATAAAAATAGTAAAATTGAGATGAGGATTGGGAAGAAAGAGCAGTCTTTTTCAATGTTGTAGCTAACTAAGATGAGAAATGTACTTTATTTACCAACTTCTCTTTTAGAATATCATTTTCGTATAGATTTCTAGTTTCTTTCCAGTGAGCTGAAAAAGGCCTGGCTAGAGTGGAACCAATAACACCAAACGTTGAACTCATGACTTTAGCAAGAATACAGGAGTTAGTGCTAAGGAGAGTTATGGTCATGAAAGCTGTTTTGAGTTGTGGAGAAGAAAGAAAGAGTAATGATGATGTTGATAACTAATTCAGAGGACTGTAAAATATATTTTGTTAAATCTTCCACAAAACTCATGAGGTAGATAAGAATATAATTATCACTATTCTCACCATGCAAATAAGGAAACTGAAGATCAGATAGATTAAGAGACATGCCCAGGTCCAGGATATTGCAAGTATGCGATATAGGTATGATAAATGACAGGTCCTCTTTCTAAATCTCTGACTTTTCACGCATTCCAGTCTACTCAGTTTATCAGAGAGACATAAAAATTTGGTGCTTTCAAATCAACTTAAAATTTGGGTAAAGCAATAGTATTGAAGGACATTAATGATCATATTTCTATTACTAATATGAAGAGGTAATAAAGTGATTACTTTTCCCCAAAGAGATCATGCAAGAATTTATGCACAATTACTAGTATAATATAAAAGACTGTACCACACTATCTCAATAAAATTTACACACATTTTTATACAGTAAAAATCAGGTAAACTTTAACTCAAATTCAGTAGTACCAAGTACCAATTTGAGTAGATGAGTATGATATATGCATAAATATGTTTTGTTATTTCAATAATATGCTCAGTTAGAATATGTTTTCCTCTTTAAGTAAGAATTACTTTTCTTGCTTGTTATTAAATTCTAAAGTTAGAATGAAAAAGTCTGTTATATATAATTCATTACCATATATTTATCCTTTCATTCAAATGCAGAGTTCACACTAATTACTAGGTATCTGTACTAGTCACAATGATGGCAATTTCCTATCCGGCTTAACAAAAACAGAAAAAAATTAGCACAGGAAGTACGACAAAAACACATCTTGTGGTTAGAAATACTTTCCTGGTAGCTGTTCTCAAGAATTTTTAGAAATATCACTAAGTGATTGTTTAGTCTGTGTTGCCCTAGATATTAAATATTGCTGTTGCTCTTTCAGCATTTATTGAAGCTTCACTATGCACCTGACATTGTGTTAAAAGAAAAGATTAGTAAGTCCATATTCTTGCACTACTATTTAAGGCAAGCTAAGTAGAAGGTAAATATGCCCAAATTAGATCAGTAAAATGTTACAGATATGACTTTAGCAGTGTGCAAAGATTACAGTAGAAACACAACATAAGGAAAGACAGGAGTTATCCTAAATCTTGGGGGTGATGTCTTCAGGAGATATTCCATAGAGGAGGTGATAGCAGATAGGGGATGAAAAAAGGGTGGGGAAGATTCCAGATAGAGGGAACAGCAGAAAGTGGCATGTAGAATGTAACATTTCTGTATTATGAAGTTGTTTTTTCTCTTTTCTTAAATTCTTACCACAGTCTAAGCAGAAATAGTACAAATTAACGTACTACAAAAAGGTTGACAAACAAAATGAGCAGACTGGTATCAGACTTCTACTCCATAATACTTTTTTTAAAAAGGAAGATAATGAGAAAACATCTGGGGACTTTTGTAGGGACATGTATTGTCCCATAATAGCAGTTCACAAAAGTTCTCTTTATTTTTCAGGGGAAAAATAAAATAGTTTATTCTGATATGTAAGTTCTCTGGAAATAAAACAAGGCTTTTTCTTTTAAAAAAATACTTAAAGATATCCACTAACTCATTTTAGAGATGAATTAAGAGCCAAGAATGGAAACACATGGTGAAAAAGAACTACAATTCTTTTACGTAGTTTTGATTCCAGATTCAAGAAACCAGTAGGATTTAGGTATTCTCATGTTGATTTTGAATTTGAGCAGTAAAGTTGGACTTTACAAAGCTCTCTTCTTCTTTCATACCACTGAATTTTCTAGAATCAAAAATACGTTAATAAGACTGTATCCAATGTTCAAGTAGAATATATTAGCCATTGTTTATAGTCACTTGAAGCAGTAACTGGATTCCCCCATTCATGAACTTGCTTACGACGGCTATAACATTTACACAGTTTGGAGTTTATAAGAATAATTGCCAACAAATTTTGGTTCTTGTTTATTTCCCTCAGAAAGGTAGAGTTGAGCTGGGTAACTTAAAGTTTACTTTTGTGTCAAGAAACTTGAGTAATGAATTTTTTTTATGTACTTTAAAACTTCCTGAATGAAAATATCCAATATCATTTGTCAATAAATCAGCACATATGATATTGTATGTAAGACCTGTAAATGTTCTTCTGTGTTTACTATTCTTAAATAGGTGTAAAATTTTAACTGTGTAAAAATATATAAAGAAAAAGATTAAAGAATTACAATGATATATTAATACGGTTGTGAGCATTTAATACTAGTATGAATGGCTATTAGTTTCTTCTTTATAATCTTCTATATGTCCTAGTTAATATATGTTAATATTTAAATATTTAATTTAATAATAATTTAAAACAATATATTTCTTTAAAAAAGCCCCTGAAATTCTACATATATTTTCAAAATTATGCAAAAAACTTTGAAGCAAAATACTAGATGGGATTAGTTCTAAAGGTAAAAATTGTTTGTGCTCTGAGCCAAGAAGTGTTTCAATTCTTCTTTTCCTTTCCGTATTTTTTAAAATAACTGCTCATATATTAATTCTTTTGGGAGATATAATTTTGTTTTCTAAAAAGACTCATAACTATACTCTAACATCTAAATGGACAACTTAAGCCATAAAATTCTACAGCATAGAATTTGAGTGATGAATAATTTCAGGTCGACTAGAGGTGCTAATTCAGATATAAGAAGACAAATATGATTAACCGTTCTACAAACTACTCTTGGTGAAAATGAAACAGCCATTTCCATAGTCAAATGCTCAAATGGCAAGCCTATAAGCATCTGTCGCCTAGGCATATATGTATAGCAATGATATAACTGATATTTTTAAAATGCATTTTAAAGTCTCAATTCCCTTTATTCATCTTGTTACAAGAAATCTTAACATATTTTAATATATCAGTTTTTTTCAATTCCCACACTGTGGGGAGAAAAAACAAAGTCTTAATTCTGTTTCCATTAGAGGATAAACCAAATGAACTAAGATTGTCATTCAACTGTTAATGTTACTAGTATTGAGCCTTGTTTTTACTCTGGCTACTAATTTCTTAAAGTAGGTTGTCAATATTACAATAAAATTGTAAGAAAAGATTTATTAACCTAGATTCGTCATCAGTTGCTTAAACATAATCTTTATACCAACCTTCAGTCTCTTTTTCTCATTCTCCCATAGTGTGAATTACTTTATTGATTACGAAGCTATGGCCTGAACGCAAATGAAAATCTGTAATGAAAAACTCATTTTAGAAAGAAATTAGTAAATTCAATAGTGGAAAACAATTTTCCTGTGTTCAATCTTGTAATCTATTTTGCGTTATTTCCCACGTGTACCCTACACATCAGTGATTCATGTCACTGTGCACATAATCAATTAAAATAAAAGAATTACATAAAATATGTTTCTCCAATGCTAACCTCCAGCTCTCTCATACTAAAATAGTTATATTTCTATATTGAATATCTAACGATGCTATTAGAGAGTTAAACAGTTTTGCAAATATATTCACTGTTGAAAAATTCATAGAATAACATTTCCTTGTGTTGTTTTAGAGATTATATAACTTATTGAGGAAAACAGGCTATTAATATAACCAATGAAAAAGCACTAAAAAATTCTAAATTTTACAGGAATTTATTATATGGTAGGCACTGTGCTGTAGGACTTTCCACATGTATTGTCTGTATTAATCCTACTAGGACTCCAATAAGTGAATAGTATGATACACATTTTTTAATCAAGAAAAAACGAGGATTAACGGAATGTTTAACAAATTTGCCCAAGGTTGCGTAGTCACTGAGATTCAAACCAAAGATCTATCTGACTTTAAATACTGTGCTCTTAAACATCATACTATTTTGTTTCTCTTCAAAGCGTGAAAATAATTCATCATCAACTCAATCCTAATGCTTGGGATTCCTGTACAAAAAAACATATATATGTACATATATATTTATATCAAAATATATATCCATATATATATTCACCTGCCAAACTGGCCCATACTAGTGAAGGTACAATGATAAATTAGGAGGAATACTTCTTTCAGTTCTATAGATACGTTGTAGTGGCGATGGCACGTTTCTATCGTGTCTTGAAATCTCACGTTTTTGCTAATAAAAAATTCTTTTAAAAGTTATAATAAATAAAGCAAGTGTCTAAGTTTCATTCATAAGGAGTGGGAATAGAAAAAGGAATTATATTACTTTCATTTTTTAATTACACAAGTAATTACACAAGCAAGAATCTGTTAAAAAAAAAAAATAGAAGCTGTGAATGTCCCCCTTCCCTCCACCCCTCTAAGTTTTTACTAGAGATAAACAGTTCTCCCCATAATTTAATTTTCCAGGGCCTTTTCTACACCCATGAGCACCCACCCACACACCCACACCCACCCCCCACACACACACATACAGACACCTGCTTAAAGTAACACAATTACATTGAACCACATTATGTGTATTGCTTTGCGTCTTCTTGTTCCTTAATGTATATTGAAAATCTTTCCATATCAGTACAAATAGGGTACTTTATTCTTTTATACTGCTGAATCGCCTAATTGAAACACTTATTTATTTGGCCCTCTCCTTATAAATATATCTGTAAGTTGTTTCCAAACAATCGCTATTACAAAAAATGCTGCGGTAGAAATTGTAATATGCCTTTGTGCATAATTTTTGGATATAATCCTATAAGTGAAATTGCTGGGTCCAAGGGCAGGTACACTTACGATAGATACTGCCAACTCCCTTTAACCTTATAGTATTTCCCTGTGTATTAAATGTAACACTGTTGGAACTGGTTCTGTGTTTATTGTCAGCATTTCAAATAGATCCCTGTCTCCTGATAAATTCAAACAGATCTGAGAGATTGCTGTTGACAGCTTAGTTAAATAAGCTTTCTTAGCTCTTCCAATCCGTGTGTTCATAATTCCTCCAGAGCCGGAGACATTATGAAAAGGGTCCTTTCTAATTAAAGTAGCAACAGCCAAGTATTTGTGTGTGGCTCCCTCTACTAAGGAGAAGGCAACTGCCACTGAAAATGTGCATGTTTCAATCTGCATTGGATGTGGTTTCTAAAATCATTATTAACCAGTCCTTAGTGTATGATAAATAAATATGTCTACATTCTTAAAAGAAAAATAGTAGCAAAAGAAAGCTCTAATGAACCCTTATTTGGAAACCTTCAGGAAATAGAGGACTTTTAACTTCTACACTACGCCTCATCTCATGAGCAAACTGACCATTTGGCCTCATAATAGACGGTGAAAGAGGCTGTGAGGAGACCGCGGGAAGCATTTTCATGTGTTTTTTTCTGACTCTTGGCCCTCTGATAACTAAGCAGTAAAATAAGACTTTTTCTGTCTTCCATGTCTCCACAAAAACAATTGCCAGTGACAAAGCTGAAATTTCCTAACAAGAAGCATTATTTAAAAATAATTATAAATTTTTGTATTCTTTAATAATCTTCTTTTCATTATGTTTGTATTCTGAATTTAT